GAGCATGTTTGGTGTGAGAGAAATTCGAACCCGCGACCCAAAGATTGCGAGTCGAGTGCCTTAACCACCTGGCCATGCCCTTTTGAAATAGCCGAACATGCCAATCAGTAAATTAAGCGATTGTTTGATATAGCTGAAGTTTAATGGTCTAAAGAATGCCACTTAGTCACACTGAATTGTTATCTTTCCTTTTCTATTGTTAATCTAGTTTGTTCTTTAATTTTCGAAACAAATATATGATCCTAATGGAAATATAACAGTATAACATAATTTAACAATAATTATTGAAAGACTCCAACCTTCACTGTCAGAACTAGGTTGACCACGAATCCACAGTTCTTCTCCATCAAAATGTGTATCTCCTCCCAGTCCATCTCCAGGAAAAAATGCATGTGCCAAGACTAATCCCTTCCCATCGAAGGGATATCCATCACCATGGTAACCACGAAAGAAGGAAATCCCAATATCCGCATCAGTGGCTTGAACCTCCTGAAACTCCAGTTTGGACACTTCACTCCAGATGTGGAAGGCTTTGGCCAGTTGTTCTCTGATCATACTAGTGTTTGCCCCCTCTGGCCAGTCATTTATACTGAAAATCAAATCAGATTATTCTTAATGGTCGTGTCAGTGACCTTACTAGTTGTTGAGACTCGAATTAATTTAAAATTATTATATGGTCTTCTTGTTGTTTGAAACTTGTTATCTGTAATGATTATTCAAAAGATCAGTTACGTTTGAATTGACGCTAGATATTCTATGCTTATCTTGAAATTTATATTTTAAAATTTGTTAGTGTTTTAATTTCCACCTGGATGGATTACCTGTTTTAATCAATCGCACCACTATATAGTAGTGTATTGTCTGTCCGTCAGTCAGTAAGCACTAAAATGACGTCACATAAGGGACGTTTAACGTTGCAATTTGTACTGTCGCGACGTCAGTAAAACGTGCGCATACTATGAATCACGAGAAGAATTATACACTCGGTAGGTTACAACACAGCCTGACATATGAACTTCAAAAGCAAGAAATAAAAATATTTGTTACTTATTCCTGCACACACCATACTTTTGTCACCGCCATATGCATCACATTCTTCTAATAAAATGTAGTTGGACGTTGTTCCAGATGGTCTCTAAATACACATGTTATCTGGGTGTAGGATGAAGAGCGACTTATTTGTTTTGCTTGTTTGTTTGTAATTAAGCACAATGGGCTATCTGTGCTCTGCCCACCACGGGTATCGAAATCCGATTTTTAGCATTGTAAGTCTGCAGACATACCACTGTGCCATTGGGGGGCTGAGTTATCTGTAAAATATTAATAATATTGCTCCACGTGTCGTTGTACCATTGGAGTTGTTCTTGGTACCATTACAGGTAAACTGTTTAGTGCCTTGCTGTGAGCGGAATAACATCGGACGTCTCGCATACAAGTCAACGTTATGAAGCCAGTTTCTTATCAATAGGCCGTTCAATTGCGGCTGCGAACATCTGGTTCAACTTCAAAGGAGGTACCCTATGATTGCTGCGAGACAGAAAAGACAGATAAGAGTCATCTGTTCATGTAATGGATGATTGACTGCCGTTTTTTGTCCAAATGTCCTAGTATTTGCACTTTCAGTTTCGAAACGAGTTCATTTTATGCAACTGATACACATACTTGAAGCCTGTTTGCAACTAACTTTTGAGGATGGTTCTATACATGAGTAAATATCCAAACATCTTCTTTGAAGTCTCGTTATGGCTCAAGAACAATTTAACCTTTAAGATTCACTTCAAAGTGACAATTTGAACAAGACAACTATGTTCATCAAAGACCAAACCAATCACTTGCATTTCAGAAAACACAGTTAATCACCAGATGCCTGATTTATAAATAATGAACTTATGGGGGGAGGGATTAACATTTTATAACAGTTATTTTGCTTTGTCATATGTATTCTGATTTTCCTTTAATTGTTTTTTGTAGGTAACGAATTGAGTTTTAATCACATCTTGCCATAATTTACATAGCATACAACAGATTGCGTGAGATTCCCGATATTCTTTTACATATAAGTTCCAAGCCTGAAAGTACTGTATTGGTCCGATTCTAGGGCGATTTCGAATATAAGGCGATCCCATTTTCAGAAACCAGGCGAAAGAAAAATATATTGAGTGTCATAACGTCCGTTTTTATGTCTGCAAAATCAATACTATAATTGAAGAGTCTGCAGATGGATTAGTTGCAACAATTAGCGATGACTTTGAGCAAACATCTGGAGTGCATGCTTAGACGGATGCTATCTGGACATTCAGGAATGGGAAAGGCTAGAGTAAGGGGAAGGGGCCTATGGTCGGCCGCGATTATAAGGAGACTACGAATTTTACAGCCTAATTATTAATCCAAGACCATCGCCTTATAATTGGGCCAATACGGTAATATGTAACGATTCTCTTTAATACACCTGCCAATAAAAAGTCATCAGATTCAATGTCACATTGCGATTTGGAGTATTTCACAAAGAGTGGCTCTTCTTTCATGAAGTTCTTTTTATTCTACAAAGAACAAATGCGATACCTGGCTATCAGTGTTTGTAATTAATAATAAAATAAAGTCCTAACGCCTGCAAAAGGAGGATATCATTTCCAAAAGTATAAAAATATAATCGCATCTGACAGATTTTAAATCAAAACGATTATTCTTGTTAGATAGTATACAAAGCATGATTACACAGAAATTTTATAGACGTTATTCGTAAACATTAAATATTTTATATTAGACCAGGAGCTACGCAAAAATAATTATAAAGACCCCCACCCCACCCCAAAAAAAAGAATTAAAATCTCGTTTTTATAGGAGTATAATATGAGCTATTTGTTAATGCGTATATTTATTTGCAAGACATTGCACAACAATAGAAACATTTAAATACTAGCAGCTTTCCAGCATTTTTATGAACGTTAATAGAACAATTATTAAATATGCTAGAAGCTTAGCTATCAGTACATCAGATATTATTGTATTAATTCCGAACTATTGGTTCAATGTTTAATTTATCTTTTATCCTGATTTATGATGATTGTTGTTGTTTTCTTGGTGCAAAGCTACACAATGGGTTACCTGCACTCTGCAAGGAATAAAACCCTGGATTTTAGCATGGTAAGTCCGTGAACTTACCGTTGTCTACAGAGGGGCGATAGGTAATGACCTTGGTTCCTGTATATTGTATAAATGGGAAAATAAAATAAAATTTTAACGGAAAGTAGGGATTGTTGGTTATTCGTATAATCGCTATAAGAAGTATCCAAAACAAAATAAATACTAGTTGGATAGATTTTAAAACGATTTTAAATCCTTACTTTACTTGGCAAATTTATACTGCTTCATTTAGCTATGGGGATCAGAATACCAACCAAAGTAGGGATTGAAAATCGTTTAAAAATCTATCAAACTGGTATCACTTTATTTGTTTGTGTACTTTTTATTGTATAATTTATTTTGTTTTGGATACTTCTTACAGCAATTCTACAAATAAACAACAATCCCTACTTTCCATTAATTATTTTTTTCATATTTACTTGTTCTGTTTTTATATGTCCATAGAATGGACACAACATCTATAAACTTTCAGTTTAGTCATATCCCTGATAGATACAACTTTTACAAGAATTAAAACCACAATCACAAATTTATAAAATGTAAGCCTTACTTTGGCTTACAGATAAGTGTATAAAGTTGCCAAAGTAAAGAATTAAATTGTTATAAATTTGTGATTGTGGTTTTAATCCTTGTTTCATTACTTTTTTGTAGCAGGATCCCTACTTCATTTTAAAAATCATAATTGTTAATATTTTTTCATGTCATACCTGTATAAAGTATATACTTTAACTATTAGAAACTGTTGCGCCTATCCATTGATATATAGCGCCATCTGTTGAGTTTAAAAGATATTTAAGTACGTGCATTATATGTTTACCATTTATAAAAAATCTGTATATATTTATCGGAATATCAAAAGCGGATATCCACAGACCAGTCAAGTAAGCTGGAGAAATCTTGTAGCGATAGTCCGAGTTGTCTAGGCGCTAGCCCCGCTGACGTGATCAGGTAGGCAAGTAGGTAGGTAGTAGACGAAAAGGTTGCTGTTTTAGAAATTTTTGAATTGTTATACCGGAAATGTTAGCAATCTTTTCAGCGTATAATTAGTACATATGCGCATAACATATCATAACCAATATTTTAAATGGTCGGTTTTTCGCTTAGGATTCAATAGGGTCTTTTTTTAGCGTGTGAATTATTTGGAAACCTTGTCGATCCCTACTATTAAATACTACCATATTTAACAATGTAAGTTCTTCCAATATTGAACGACTTCTATAACTTCTCGAGAAGTGGTTACCCGAAAGAAGATTTTTTTTCGTTTATGTTTTATTTAAATGCAATGAAGGTTATTTGATACAGTTAATAATTAATACTTGTGTTTTATATTTATGGCAAGGCTACTAAGATTATCTGACACCGTCCTTAACTTTGAACTACAAACCAGAAGGAAAGCAGCCAGTCAACAGCACCCTACCACCCACCAATCACGCTAAGGGATTGATTGTCTCTCTTATAACGCAAACATAGTTCAATATTTAGATATTTCGTGCTATCACACGGAGTCGAATGCAACTCGACAGCTTAGAAATACAGGGCACTATTACAGGACCAACTCGCGCTTAGTGATTAATACAGTCGAAACGTATAATCTACCCTCCCGCAAAGATGGGTGTTTATATACGTATGGGTCAATTTTGGTTTTCTCTCAAGTCTTGTTTTTGTTTTTGAATTTTCGCGCAAAGCTACACTAGGGCTATATGCGCTAGCCGTCCCTAATTTAGCAGTGTAAGACTAGAGAGAAGGCAGCTAGTCATCACCACCCACCGCCAACTCTTGGGCTACTCTTTTACCAACGAATAGTGGGATTGACCGTCACATTATAACGCCCCCACGGCTGAAAGGGCGAGCATGTTTGGTGTGACGGGGATTCGAACCCGCGACCCGCAGATTGCGAGTCGAGTGCCTTAACCACCTGGCCATGCCGGGCCATCTCTCAAGTCTTGGCAAAATATTATAATGGGTTATGCTGCTGCTTGTACGCCGTAAAGAGCAATTTAAGTTAATCAAAAGTAGTATTATGTGCAAACGTCATCAGCAAGGAATGTATGTCTATTCAAAACCATCCATGTAGCATACACACACATCGCTGGAGAAAACGAACTTAAACTTCTACTTTTTTTTTAAGTATGACTGTAATTCCTGGATTTATAATTAAACTCACAATAATAATCTAGAAGAGAATGTTTTTTTGTTGAACTGTAACTAAAACTTTGAGAATGTTTAAAAGCATTAGTTAGTGATTATAGCATTAGTCTGTTTCTTTTAAAACAAAGCCGCCACGTTGGGCTATGTGCTGTGTCCACTGTAAGGAACTGGACCCCGGATTTGAGCGTTGTAAGCCCGTAAAGTTATCGCTTTCCCATCGGGGGAATTAGCATTTGTCACGTTCGAATTTTGATCTCAAGTTCTAATACAACTAACTAAGGATATACGTTAAAGAAACAAAAACTGTATAAAGGACAATATTAAATAATGTTCCCCTTCCTTCTTATTTTTGCTGTTAAATCCCTAAAGACTTCATTAGATCCTAATTGCATATCCTGCTTTTTGGAAGGTATTAATTGACTTATTTAACTGATTAAGTACTTGTGTCTTTAAATTAAAAGTCAAAAATCTATAAAATAAGTGAAAATGTGCCATATTTAAGGATGTGATTTTACCCTCTTTCTTGGACAAATATCCCCCCAAAAAATAATCCTTGTACACAGTTACCATGCAAAAATATTCCAGTGATCGAGCCAGCCAAATCTGGGTGATGACTGCCAAAAAAAAAAAAAACATACATACACATAATGGATCATCTTTATAGTAAGAAGTCTAATTCAAATATAGTATTATAGATTATATGTTTGTTAAATCTGTCACTATGTATTGTTTTCTTAAAATATGAACAATAGAAGCTTTGTAAATAAATAAAACAGGAAAATAATGCGTCCCATGAGCGATAAGCATCACAATATTAAACTGGACAGGTTAATTTATGTAAGAATAACATTCTAAAACTTGTTAGCATTGATAATATAATTGTTAAAAAAGCATACATGTCGTACATGAACACTATTCGGGGATGGTATTTTTCAATTTGCACCTCAAAAACGGCCTTTATACACATCATGCCTTTGTCAAGGTGGTACAATAATTCAATCGTATATTTTATGTATGTTATTATAAAATGAGTAATAAATTGATATTTTGTTGAATATCGATGAGCTTTGGAGCCTAGCAAGTCCTAAGGTTTCTGGAAAATTTTGAAAATACCTAACATACCAAAAACTGATTCATTTCAATTATTCACTTTAATGTTTAACAAAGATTACTCCAAATTTCATGGTTCATAGCGAAGAATAATGAACTATTTGTTCGACGATGTGTGATGTTTTGTCGTTTTTACTAACATCTGGTTCAGATAGCGGTTATCTGCTTCAGTTGTGGATGATGGTATGTCTTGTCCATTAACATTTGGAACCAAGTCTCTAGGCCCGTCATGGCCAGGTGGTTAGGGCGCTCGTCTCGCAATCTTTGGGTCGCGGGTTCGAATCCCCGTCATACCAAACATGCTCGCCCTTTCAGCCGTGGGGACGTTATAATGTGACGATCAATCCCACTATTCGTTGGTAAAAGAGCAGCCCAAGAGTTGGCGGTGGGTGGTGACGACTAGC